CACTACCTTTTTTAACAGTTGTTTTTACAGCCACGAGTGTGTTAGCCTTAGGTGGCGGTAACTGAGAAATGTGAAAACTCAGTTGACTTTCCTCGGGCAGAAAGTTTTTTAATTCCTCTATGCTTAACCTCGAACCCTTATATGAACTTTTACCGCCCCCATTGGCCGTTCGTTGAAGTGGGATATGGAGTTTCTAGATCGGGCCCTGATAAAACATGAAGTACTTTATATTAAAGTCAACGACAGTCAGTCTGAATACTTGAAAAAAGTTCAGCTTGTCACGAAAATTATTAATTAGCGGAAAATCAGGGCAAGAAGATCAGATTCGCACCTAGCTGATGTTGAACACACTTTGTTTAGTTTAAATCAATTATCGTCACTTATTTCCTGTCCAATTGCAAGGCCGCAAAAAGAAGAAAAAAAAACAGATATCGATCTCCCTGGATAAAAGTGTAAGTGCAATACTCTGAATATTTATTTAAAGCGTGTTTTATCCGAAGGCGTTGTTTTATCGCATTGCATTCTCTTGTCTTTCGATCCAGGATGAAAATTGATTATGGAACTGATAATTCTGCTACTTTTTGTAAAATCCTTTTATAAGCAATTCCATCGGATTTTTAGTCTCTCTTATCGACACAGAGCCAGCCGTTTTCATGTCAATATAGTACATGTGAAATGGATTACAATTTTGATTGCGGCTGACATTGCCATGTGCAAGCGAGGGAATATTGAAATACTTCCGAGCAACTTGAATCACGTTGCACTAATAGTAAAATCAAAGTATTGACATCTTGTAGACGAGATACTGACTGTATTGGTCAAAGANATGAATATCAATAGGTATATGAAGTAATCAAAGATGATTATACCTGGCCTAATGACTTTTTTTTATCAATGGCCGGTGGACTAGGCAAATAATTGGTTTTCCAAAACAACTTCTCGGACGAAAGCCCAACATTTAAATATTTTGTTTTGTCTAGCAAACTGAGCATTTGAAAGCACAATTGAAAAATAGAAGTACCTTATTTTACGCTGCTTGCTTCACTACCTTTTTTAACAGTTGTTTTTACAGCCACGGATGTGTTAGCCCTACGTAGCTAAAAAGTAGCAAGGTAGAGAACTATGTAGCAGTAACTGAGAAATGCGAAAACTTCAGTTGACTTTCCTGGGGCAGAAAGTTTTATAATTACTCTATGTTCAACCTCGAACTCTTTAAGAGTTCGAGGTTGAACATAGAGTAATATATGAGCTTTTACGGCCCCCATTGGCCGTTCCTTGAAGTGGGATATGGAGTTTCTAGATCGGGCCCTAATAAAACATGAAGCACTTTATATTAAACTCAACGACAGTCAGTCTGAATACTTGAAAAAAGTTCAGTTTGTCACGAAAATTATTAATTAGCGGAAAATCAGGGCAAGAAGATCAGATTCGCACCTAGCTGATGTTTTGTTTCAAGACCAATTCTATGTTGAACACACTTTGTTTAGTTTAANTACCTTATTTTACGCTGCTTGCTTCACTACCTTTTTTAACAGTTGTTTTTACAGCCACGGATGTGTTAGCACTACGTAGGTAAAAAGTAGCAAGGTAGAGAACTATGTAGCAGTAACTGAGAAATGCGAAAACTTCAGTTGACTTTCCTCGGGCAGAAAGTTTTATAATTCCTCTATGTTCAACCTCGAACTCTTATATGAGCTTTTACGACCCCCATTGGCCGTTCCTTGGAGTGGGATATGGAGTTTCTAGATCGCGGCCTCATAAAACATGAAGTACTTTATATTAAACTCAACGACAGTCAGTCTGAATACTTGAAAAAAGTTCAGCTTGTCACGAAAATTATTAATTAGCGGAAAATCAGGGCAAGAAGATCAGATTCGCACCTAGCTGATGTTTTGTTTCAAGACTAATTCTATGTTGAGCACACTTTGTTTAGTTTAAATTAATAATCGTCACTTTTGCCTGTCCAATTACAAGGCCGCAAAAAAAAAAAAGAAAAAAAGAAACAGATATCTCCTTGGATAAAAGTATAAGTGCAATATTCTCAATATTTATTTAAAGCGTGTTTTATCCGAAGGCGTTATTTTATCGCGTTGCATTCTCTTGTCTTTCGATCCAGGATGAAAATTGATTATGGAACTGATCATTCTGCGACTTTTTAAAACTTCTTTTATAAGCCGTTCCATCGGATTTTTAGTCTTTCTTATTGACACAGGGCCAGCCGTTTTGATGTCAATATAGTACATGTGAAATGGATTACGATTTTGATTCCGGCTGACATTGCCATGTGCAAGCGAGGGTATATTGAAATAATTCCGAGCAACTTGAATCACGTTGCACTAATAGTAAAAACAAAGTATTGACATCTTGTAGACGAGATACTGACTGTATTGGTCAAAGATGCATGGCTCAGCCAATCTAGGTAGATACAACTGTTTTGCGACTTTTGTTCTGAACAAACTTTGCCGGCTGGAGGACCCTGGAGTTAATATAGTACTGTTCATGATCATCGTTTTTAGTGAAAAGAGTGAAACCTGAACAATCAACTATTTCAGGGATAATGATTGAGTTTTTTGATCGAGCTGAAAGCACGTGAAGTAGTCAACATGGAACTCTGCGGTAATGGTCTTATGTTCACTTATTTCCTGTAACAATTAAAAGAGTTGGAAAGATCTCATAAAGATTTTGGCTAAGATTTTCTCTAAAAGAAAAAAAAAAAAAAACCAAAAAAGGTGAACCATTTTTTTTTGTGTCATTTGACGTTAACACGCGTTACCTTCAAATGAAATAAATTCTTTATTCAGAATTTAGTTTTTTCTTAAGTCAATATATCAGTCGTCTATTAACACAAAATATCGTTCCACCCATTGAGACAAACAATTCCTTGAATTTGCATTCTGTTTTCGTGGTCTTATAGCACTCGGTCATAATAAGTTTTATGTTCCTCAGGTCTGAACCTGTTCCTCAGAATTTTAAGTACTTTCTTTAAAATTGTTTATATGTATGTTTGATGCAAAGGTCCCTTCGGTTGATGTGGAGGCTATCGGTTTATATATTTGTTTATTTGGCATGGGTATTGTTTAACGTCCCATACCATATCACGGGGCATCCACTCTCAATATTTTAGCGAAAGAAAAAAATATAATAAATATTAACAAAAGAAAGAGATTAAATAGCGGTTTTCATCAGCTAAGGAAGCATAATGGAAGCCCAAGAAATATGGCAAAAACCTGAGCATTCACAACGATTCAAGCACATGTACAACGCAAAACCAACAATTCAAGTGTTTAAATCCAAATCATCTGGTCACTTTTTGGGGTTTATGCACTGTCTTATATTACTGCAATTGTTTTACCTGCAGCGCTCATGCTTGCTTGGTAGTGAAACTAAGAGCAAGTTGAAGGCCTACTCTGAAGATCATGAGACTGAATTAAGTAAGACTTAATGGAAAGTGAATTGTATCAGGTTACAAAACAACACGGGTCATTTACAAGGAAATACACGCGGACATGCTCTGGGTGCATGCTTCAGAAATGTTCTTCTGGTTGAATTTATCTGTGAGTCAATATCAAAGGACTACTGAGGTGTTATTGTATCAAAGTGGACTTGGGGAGAGAAAATTCGTGCAATGCCAACGGTCAGTCTCGCATCAAGGCATAGCTAGTCCCGTCAAGAACAGATCAGAGCAGTGGTCTCCAAGGTTGTGTAATACTAGACAAGTGGTTACGTTTAATTAAGCCGTCTGTTGATCAAAACTGCAATCATAACAAACGGGCTGAGGAAAAAAAATACCTTCTCAATGACACTACTCAACTTAAAGTATCGAGAAAAATACGAATTGGAATACATTAACAGTCAACTGTTAGAGGTCAGTTTATTGTGCAAGATCTCACCCTCAGCGACTTTAAAACTACCTAAGCTTTTGCTACTGAAACTATATGTCAAAAAACCCTCAATGTATTCATAGTTCTATCGTGCAGTCAACAATAGGCTCGATTTCCGCTGCGCGGGCTCCTTTCCCGAACAGCGGCTGGCAATGAGTCAACAATAGCACCTTGAAAAACAACTTGAATTCAAAGCTACGTTTAAGCTGAAAAATGCTGCTAGTTTTTTAAAATGTGGGTAAATGCGAATATCATAAAACGTTTGATGAAATGATTTGATTAAACGCTTGATAAGCTAAAACGAATTATCAAAAATCATAAGCCTTTCGTTCTGGTTTCTTCCCCATACAAAATTGTTGATTAGTACTATACTAATATAGCTGCCTGTCTGAATGTAAGTTCCAGGAGGGGAGGGGAGCGGGTGGACACGAGCTGTAATTGTTGAAGTAAGCAGCATGAGTAATCCATTATTAGAATTATTAGAACAAGTAATTAATGTTACCTGAAATACAGAAAATAAGAACCGTGTAACATAGTTTTTTTCTGTAGGTTTAAGCGATCCCAGGTAACAAAATAACTAAGTTGTAGATCTGTGTATTATTTTAAATTCACTTTTTTTCCGACAACCACTAATAAATCGGTAAAGTTTGAATCCATGACTATTCTCCTGATTGCATTTCTTTGATTGACCAAATCTCGTGACGTAAACCTTCTGATCTAAGATCACTTGATGATGTGTACGCCGGGTTGGTAAATGAAGCAAGGAAGACCAAGTCTGGTTTAGTCTCCTTTCCAGCTTGTGAAGCGGCCTGTTCTTTAGGACTCTGTTGACGATCTTTACGTCGGCCTTGAAGAAAACAGATGAGCAGAGCGATTGCTGCGACGACTGCGAACATGGCTGCAGCTGAAACAGCAGCGAAAATATACCATGGTACACGTGTGCTATTGGATAGAATACCTGTAAATGAAGAAACAGCTTAGTTAGATATTGTGATGATGATTTTAACTCCGGTCGGCAGTTTTTACCGTGCTAAGATATGCAGTGAGAGGTTCGGTGGCCAAATGATTAGGTCGCCCGACTCCAGATCGANCTTGGTGCCCGAGCACGTTCCCCTGGTATGATTCTAGCTGGACACTAAGGTGAAGACAATTGTTACCCAAAGTACTTACACCAGAATTCGCCCACTAGATGGTACTTGGGTACTTGGAGTACACATGTCTGAACGCAAGACTATTTTGTGCCGGTGCCCAGGCACCAGTGCTGGGGCACCAAGTGTAAACTCAGCCTTGCATTTATACGATTACTCGTTCATAACTGAGGAAGTTACGAACGCGCGCGCGTTGACTGGCACCGTAATGCAATTAATAACAACGATAAATTGGCCTGCTCTCAGCCAATCACAAAGAAGTAATTTTCTCAGTCGTGTAATAATCAACTAAATATAAGTTGATAAAGGTAAACTTACTCCTGTAGCGAGTTTGAAGGAAACTGACTACCTACTCAACATTTTACTCTTTAGAAATACTAACCTTTTGACTTACAGCTTGGTTTAGAGCCATTCCACTGTCCTTGGTTACACTGAATGACAGCAGGACCGTTAAGAAGGAACCCTTTATCACAGTAGAATTGGTAGACCATTCCTCCATCTTCAGATTCGTTTCTTTGCATTAAGCCATTCTGCAGTGTGCTGCCAATTGGTATACAGCCTGCAAGAAATTGTAATTGCGGAAAAAGTATTCAGTGTTTGTTTTTATGATTTCCCTAATTCGATGTTTAACGGTGGTAAAAATGCAGTCAATATGGCAAAGTGACATTCTAACGTGTGTTGTCAACGCACTTCAGTAACAAGGGGCCTTTTCATATGTGATGATATCAGCAGTTTTGGACGGACCTACTCGGACTTACTCGCCTTAGGTCCCACTTAAGGAGGGGCTTCTCACCTGCTGTTTCCGTTTCATTAACAACTGCAATGAAAGATTCCACAGCCTGCTTAGAGGCCATTCCAATGCTGACTTTTCCGGTGGTGAAAATATCAAAAAGACATTGCTTGTTATCAGCACACGCATCACGAGCCTGCTTGCCCAGCGTTACATTATCAAATACCAAGTCATCCTTGTCCAAAAATATCGGCACGTACCCAGCATCAAAATAAGTTGAGTGATCCTCGCCTTCTTCGTAAATGAATAACGAATCATTAACAGATGTAGCCCCTATGAGAAGAATAAAAATGTCATTTAGAAAGTTTTGGAGAAACAAAAAAAAATTAGCATTTACTGAGTGACACCTGGGAATGATAGGGTATCGGTAATTACGCTGACTATTGCTCGGAAAACTCAGCAAGCATCACTGAAGAGTACATCGGGTATTCACGTACACTAGTCACGTACACTTTTGTAAATACCCCTTGGATGACTAACCGTAATCATTTAAACTAATTTCATCCAATTGTTTGTACCCAGTTGTGCTTTTTCAGTATGCTTGCAAAATATACATTTGAAAATACTAAATGAGCCTAATAGGCCTCCAAAGCGTGCCGCTAGCAGATACCATTAGGTATTACAGGACACAAATTCGGCCCTAAACCCTGCTATATCAGATCAGTGACTTGATATCGCGGGAGATCAGAACAGCAGACATAGATCTGTTGGGCGGGCGAATTGTGAATTTCGTAACGTCGATGATCGTTAAAATTACTTCTGCTGGTTTACAAAGCTACTTGATTGATTTACTTCAGTACCGGAAACATGCCAAACTCTTTAAAACTCCTGTTACAACAAATATCTAAAACTAAATGTTACGAAGACAGGGCTTTTCCCACGTGTGCCCCTAGATTGTGAAACAGTATTTCTTCAGACATTCGGAAATCGAACAGTGTTTGTGCATTTAAAGGTAAATTCTTGCTGTTTAGGCTGCTGTATCTACTGCTGGAGGGCCGGGTTCGACTTTGGTGCTGGGGCACACCAGGGCTGCTAAATTTTGCTTTCAAGACAGAACCCTCCTTAATTTGTTGGCCGTTCATAATAAGGTTATTTTCTGTAGCTCACTGATGCTTATTGCCCCGGGAATTTTCCCGTGTAGTTTTTCAATGTCTTTAATTCTTGATGAGCCCTAGAGTACCTATAAACCTTTAAAGCCAAGCTAAAAACTCACCTTTTCCGTCATGCATTTTTATCGTAGTTGTTTTTATTATTGTAAGTTTACTTTTAATTGTAATTAAAGCTTTTTAAAATCATTGTAAGTTTACTTTTAATTGTAATTTTAGCTTTTTAGCCTTTTTATTCCGTTTTTAATCCTGTCATGCGCATTTGAACATTTTATGAAATTTTATAATAATAATAATTATTATTATTATTATTNTCATTTGTCACATTCTGATTGTTTCCGTCTGTGGCGAGAAATATACCACCTCATGAACGCTTTAAGGTCATTTTTTTTTTTTCGCTCTCGTATCTTTCACATACAAGTAGCGAGAACACTATTAGTACATGAATCGTCTTGCTAAACTTACATAGCTGTCCAAAGTCGTAGTGAATTCTGCTATGGCTTGAATTGGTTTCCAGGAATTGTCCGTTAGGGAGCAGGAATTCTTTGTCTTGATCTCCGTCCCAGAATCCTAGAAGGCCACTTGTGTTTCCTGAAAAATTATAGGGCTTGAAAATTAACGAAAGAGGAAGATTCTGGGGGCATGGCTGCATGCATTTACTCCAGCCGGCTAAACATGTGTAGCTGTGAGAGTGTTGGACAGATGGTGGCAAGAAGTTTCTCAGTACATCACAGTTCACAGTATTTAAATTAAAGAACAAATGCACAGAATTCCAGACAGATAGTTGGTGAGGTTCTGTATCCATCTATAATTCGACTAATTCTTACACGGCGTGGCCATCTATTTCTCAAACTCATTAATAATTCATCAAGTTAAAACAAAGAAACTCACAACAGTGAAGGAGGTTTGGATGCCCGGTCTTATTTAGCATAGATTTTGACGATTTTACTTCCCCGTTTACTCCTTAGTTTTTGTTTCAATTGAGAAGATATATTAAACACTCGAAACAGTGTTTCATCGGCTATCCAAACACCTCGAATTTCGTCAAAAATACTCTGCTGCGCGTCGTATTTTCAACTCTCTTTTCAGTATTTGGATATCCCGGTGAAACACTGTCTCTCATAAAGAAATATTCAAGTGAAAGAAATATAGCAATAAAATGGGATACGCACCTTTAAACATTGGAGGTACCAGTAAAATCATTTGTAAAATTCCTTCAACTTCCTCAACCGTGACTGATATTCCAGAATCAAATATGGCAGAGTATTTAGGTGTGTTGTTGTATTTTAAAATAATGACGCCGTTAAAATCCATCATCAACTGTTCATCAAATTCCATCAGATTTCCATTCACCAACACTTCTATTTCGTTACGACCACTGATGTGGAGCTGAAAGGAAAAAAAGTCCTCTGACATTTATTTTTTCGTAGCTTTTATTAAGTTAGCACATTACAATACTATTTAAACTTGATACGTAACATACCAAACACGAAAGACCGTGTTTGATCATATTTCCTAACCTCGAGAAGAGAGTTGAAAATACCACGTGCAGAGGAATATATTTGAAGAACTTCGAGGTGAAATGTGGTCAAACACTCTCTTGATGAGTGTTTGATATAATATTATCTTCTCAATCAAAACTAAAACTAGAAAAGAGGAAACGGCGAAATAAAATCGTAAAAAATATATATACTAATTAAGATCAGATATTCAACAACCATCAATGGCATGTCTTGATTTCCTTTGTTTAAACCTGATGAATTATTATTGAGTTTAAGAAAGAACAATCAAGAACATTCTTTAACGAAGTAAAGCACAAGTCAACGTAAGCACAGACAGAAAGAGTGATCAATTCAGCAATAAGTGGTAAAAATGGACAAGAGGGGGAAAATAGAGGTAAATGGGCAAGTGCTTTGCTTTCCGAGAATAGTAAGGCCATCATTTTCTCTTGGTAAATCTTATTGCTCCTAATAGCTAGCGTTAGTGATGTGCATGCACCAATAAACGAGCCGCATCTTCATGCAATATGCGACTCTCGCATCTGCGGGCTTCGCTACATGAAACTGGATATTTTCATAGCTTAATCTTAATCCTGGAGGGGAAGCAGGGATGGCGCAGAGGTGAGAGCGCTCGCCCATCCCCCCTCCGCCACTATCGTCGCCCGGGTTCGATTCCGGCCCGGTGACATATGTGGGTTGAGTTTGTTGCTGGTTCTCGCCTTGCTCCAAAGGTTTTTCTCCGGGATCTCCGGTTTTGTTCAGCCTCCACAAAAAAAAAGAACATCAAATTATTCGACCAGATTAGAGGACACGCATAAAAACCAGCTAGGCTGGCGGCTTCCTCTCTAAATATTGTAAATATTGTAAATTTTGCTACAATTGGGCTTATCAGCTATTCCAGTCCGAGAAAACGCACATTGCAGCAGCACCCGTCCCAGCTAAAATAAATTTTTGTTCCTGACTGGTTAATTTTGGTACAGTACGGTATGTTACCTGCACAACATCTGAGCCATTTTCCTTCATTGCGAACGCTTTATAAATTGTAGCACGGCTGTTGCTGCCATCTTCATTGATCAGAGGCTGCATTCGTCCTTGTAGTTGGAAATCAGAGCCCGCTACCTGGAGGATTTGGTACTCGCCGTATCCATTAAAGGTGTATTCCACTCCATCAAGTGTAATCATGTGAGGATCTCCGAATCCAGTGGCTATTTAACAAAAATGATATAACAAAAAAAAATCAGTGTTATATAGAGCGTCCAAGTTCATGGGTTCTACTCCTATTGGAGAAACGCAGGAGAAAGTAGTAGCTTGAGTAGCTTGTGTCACTGATTTTTTGAGTGAGCGATACTTCGATCAACTGATAGATTGCTTGATTTCTTGACTGACTGTCCGACTGACTGACTNCGACCGACCGACCGACCGACCGGCCTAACGACAGAACGACCGAACGATAAAAATAAAAATATATATATTAAGCTTCACAACAATATTCCCTTAAATTTCACCCGGTTTTTCTTGATGGGACAAGTCATGTTTATGATAGTATACCTGGTCTTGGAGGTTCGTAATTGGAGCCATCATCTGAAGGTCTTTTTTCAAAGTACTTTCCACAGTTGTCAGAAAACAGACAACAATCCAAATATGGCACAAGGTCATGAAAGAAATGAGAGAGGACTGGTACTCCCGCCTCAATATGAAAACGATCCAGTGATCCTCTGTTTGGCGAGCCAACCATCAAGTTTCCCTGACCAGTGTAGCAACATTGCTGTCCTGCACCTTGATTACTATGAATTCAAAATATATTCTGCTAGTGGGAAAGATCTTTTTATTCTGTTCTAGAATACACTACAATCCGCCTGTATAAAACCTGAAGTTCAGTTAAGCCAGTTAAGAGTACTAACTTCCTGTATAAGGAAGGATTTTTGCACAATCAACCTCTTTAATAAGTTACTGAGCTTCAAAGTCAAAGTCAAAGTCAA